GGTGGGTGGGTGGGGATGAGGTGGTTGGAAAGACTGTATAAACAATGTGTAAACTGCTTGAGCAACAAAGACACCTGACAGGACAGATAGGGTTTGACAAAACTGAATGTGAGCTTTTAGAGGAATTTTATGAATGTCATTTATTGCTTATGCTTGGTACATTTTGGATGTGATTCAACATAGAATCCCATAACAAGAAACCCTATTACAATGAGTCCCGAGTTGTGACAAAAAGAGGTTTCTTCTGTAATTTGAAATAACATGGGCATTGCAGTTCACCAAAGGTGAACGTATTCTGTCCAACTCGTGTGAAAGAGGAGGATCCGTTCCAACAGGTGGTGGTCAAAATCAAAACTTCCACATTAGGAATGTAATTAAGGTCTGTTCCATTATGGGTTTCCTTCTTGCTGAGATCTGGAAGGAATGGTTCCCTGTCCCTTTGTCATTTTGCAGGCTTTGTCATTTTGTATTTTTCCCACCCCCAAGTATAAGTCAAAGAATACAGCTCACCACTCTTGATATGTAACCTGAAACTTCAACCCAACAGAGTCTAGAACCCCAGGACTGGCCACTGTCACTCTCCCTCTTTCTCTTTCTTATCCCCGAAGCCACAAACCTACACCAAGTAAACTAATTTCACTAAGCATATGAGTATCTGATCCAACTTAAAATGTTTGAGAATTTGGGTTTTTATGGAAATATTTATCCATTTACCCCTCACTTATTAATTATTAAATATTATCCATTTACCCCTCACTTAAGGAGTAAGTTTTTTGTTTTTGGTCAAAAAAAGACTTTGATTTCAAAACCAAAGTTTTGTTGTGAGGATATAAGCACAGCCCAAAGAGTTATCACCGACTGACACCAAGTATAAAATGTGGAGTTCAATGGGTAAGTCAAGTTTGTTCACCAAGCAAAGCTGAGCACCTAAAAACCCAAGAAAATATGTTTATACTCTGATCTCAAATAATGAAGGAACATAAGCAAACCTTTTCTCATCTCTGTGTCTCTGCTTTACTGATTATAAAAAAAAAAAAAATTGAGGATTTGAAAAAACATTCCCACATATAGATTAAACCTGCTAAGATTCTGTTAAATTCTGAGCCTCTTGAGATGCAGATGGTCTGGTAATTATACTTTTCAATTGCATTATAATTTCTGGTTCCTTTCTTCCATCCACCTTTCCTTCCTCTCCCCTTTAATATGCATATGGCATAAACTGGATTCTTGATCTTGTAAGAACAATTACACTGCATTGCCTGACTGAACCACTTGATGGTGCCACAAGTTAACTCATCACTCAGCTAAACTGTCTTTAAGAGTCTAGAAAAGACCCTGGCTCTGGGGGGAGGGGACAAGAAATGCACACAGGAATTCCAAGTCCAATTGTTTTCCCAACTAAGAAATGCAAATTCTCTTCTGTAAAGAGTACTTATTTACTTCCATAAGGGTTTAAAATCAAGGTGGTTGACACGATGCTTTTGCGCTAAGTCCTAAACAAAGTGGAGGCACCTACCATATAAACAAATAGGGAGACATGAAAGAACATGATGTTCTCAGGGAACTAAGAAGTAGGTAATAAAGTTCAAACACTGGCAATGTGTGAAGGAGGCGAAACAGCAGTGAAAAAAAAAAAAAACTACATCCAATCACTGGATGGTATCAAGTTCTAGAACACACCCTCCTCATTTGCCACTGTACTGTCAATGCTTAGAACAGCACCTGGTATACAGTAGGGGCACAATCAATACCTACTGAAAGAACTTGTCAAAAAACCCATTTCATATGGATAGCACTGAAGAGCAGTAGTATTTAGGGCCCTTTCTACCGCTATGGTCCATAAGATTATTACACCAGAAAGTTGATAATGAGCGTTTACACCAAAATTTTAAATACTGTGAAGATTAAGCCAGATGATCTATCTAAACAAAGGCAAAGAAGATTTTGAACTCAAAAATCTTCCTGCCTCATCCTCCTGAGCTGCTGGGATTAGCGCACCACTGCACCTGACTCCATTTTTGTCCTTACTCAGGAAAACATCATGGGAAACAGGTCAAGAAGAAATGTTCTGGGCAGAAAAATTTTGAAGTTGTTTAAGCTCAACAGGTTGCTATACAAATTTTGCCAGCTCAGAAACAACCTGACCTTGACAGCAATAGATGCGGGCAAGTATCCTGATTTCCCAAATTTAGAATCTTAAACTGAAAATAACTGGTTAGGTCATAAAGCAAAAGCTGTTAATGGCCTGTAATCCCAGTGGCTCAGGAGGCTGAGGCAGGAGGATCACGAGTTCAAAGCCAGTCTCAGCAACAGCAAGGTGCTAAGCAACTCAGTGAGACCCTGTCCCTAAATGAAATACAAAATAGGGCTGGGGATGTGGCTCAGTGGTTGAGTGCCCCTAAATTCAATCCCTGGTACCCACCCCCCCCAAAATCATTTATCTATCTATCTATCTATCTATCTATCTATCTATCTATCTATCTATCTATCTATCTATCTATCCCTGGAACAACTTGGTTATCCCCCCTCCCCAATCAAGTAGAATGCTTCGGTATCTGGTCTTTACAGAACAGTTGAGGGGTCTTGGTTCAGAGCAGGAAAGCTACTACCATTTAATGCCATGGAGCAGCGGGAAAGAGGATGCTCAAAGCTGCACGGCAGACACTCAAGAGCCAAATACGGAATTCTGGGACTTCCCACGGAGCATCTTTCATGTGTAGTCAACTGTGTACTAAATACTTTCTCATATTTATAAATGATCACAGAACAATTCTTGGCAAAGGTCTGGGATAACATGGACAAGAGTTGACTCCAGGCCTCAGTCTATTTGCACAATATGGGATTATAGACTTGGGGTCTAATTTGCTGTTTCTGGGAATTAAATTCACCAGTGTGGCTAGCACATATTCCTAAGGCACAGGTTAGGCTCCTGTGAGATATATCAGGGGCACCTCACTTCCTTGAATTTGTGTATTCATCTTCTATTTCTGAAATCTTCAGAAAACATGAATAATTGCACACATACACTATAGTTCCGGAGTTTGTATTACTCCACTTGCAGACAATGAAATCAGCTTTCCTTACAAAAGGGACCCTGATTATCTTATTGGTAGAAAACCTTAAATAGCCTAGAAAATGTTGGGAAAAAGGAATTGTTCTGAGGGTGCAGAGAGTTCTGGCTACATGGCAATAAAAAACAGGTACACATTTTGGCATTTAAGCTCAAAATAAAGGAATTCAACATATTATGCTTTGCAATATGTTGACCAATGCTGGCTAATAATTCTACAAGTGACCTGTCTCCAAACGTGGAATTTATATGTCAACATACAAAGAATGAAAGGAAAAATGGTGTAATTGTAAAACAGGCATTCATTTAACAATACTGATTTCCTGAGCACATAGAACGATGTTTAGGCATTAGGAACATAAATGTGCACAAAACAGTCCCTAATCTTACAGAGCTTATGTTTAGTAGGGGGACATTGGTATAGGATATAGGTAGTGGAGGCTGTTTCTGCAGTTAGATAAATCAATAAAGGCCTCTCCCATGTGGTGACACATAAGCAAAGATCTGAAAGAAGGGAGGGAAGCCAGCCAAAAGCCTTTTAGACTGAGGGGGAACAGCTAGTGCAAAGGCCCTGAGGTGAGTGTGTGCTCAGAGCATTTCGGGAACTGCAAGGAGAGCAGAGATGTAGTGGGAGGGTAGGCTGTAAGATAATGTGGAAGTTTGAAATGAGAACACTGTAGGTGATAAAAACTCATGGTTTTACTCTGAAAGAGATGAGAAGCCATGGAAGACTGTGTGTTCTGATTACTCTGGCTGCTGTGAGCAGACTGCAGGGGCTTCAGGCGAGCATAGGGACAGGGACAGGGAGGCCAGTCTGGGAGCATCCTGCACCAGCATCCTGGGTAAGACAGTGGCTCAGGTCAGAGCGGGAGCAGTGGAGGTCATGAGAAGTGGTCAGAAGGTGGGTATGTTTTAAGGATAAACTAAAGTCGTAGGGCTTCCTTATGGGTTGAACTTGGGAGGTGAGAGAAAGAGACAGTGGAGTAGAGGAGGAGGTGGCTGGGGGCGGGGATCAGCATTAGATGAAATCAGACTGACTTGGATTTAAATTCCATCTTGACCACTTAAAGTATTTGGCTGAATCTTCACATCCTGTAAGAGGTGCAAGAATATAA